CAGGAACATCATCAATATCAGGTGGCCGGAATTCGTCTCCAACGACCAACTGTGGGACAGAACCAGAAAAGCCCCAATCGAGATTGATATCAAGAAACAAAAATGAGGATGGATCGGCCACACATTCCGCGAGGCTGCTTCTAGTGTCACCAGGCAGGCCTTTGACTGGAATCCGCAAGCGAAGCGAAAAGTGTGTCGAGCAAAACAGACTTGGTGGGTGCAGAAGTGTTGATGCAGAGGTGAAGGCAGCTGGCACGACATGGGCCGAGCCGAAGAAGATCGCCCGGAACCGCGTCCGTTGAAGAGGCGTTGTTGCGGCCTTATGTTCCCCAAGGAATCAAGAGGCATAATTAATAATTAAACAGAAGTTTTTTTTATTACTGACGGCATTTTTTAAGCAGGTACGCGCTGGCAAAGATTTGAATTTTTTTTATCGCCATTTCACCAGACCCTGTTTAGCTTTATTCATTTTCTTCAAGAACGGTTCTGACAGGCGACCTAAAAATTGAGATTTTTGATTTGATTTGGAATTTAACTATACTATGAATTGAAAATCAAGAAAAAAATTTTAAGAATTAAATATATCCTTACTGACAGAATAAGGCTATTATATTCATAATTTAAATGTACCCACCGAATCTATGAGACATAGCCCCCCCCTCCTACTCTATTACATCTCAATTTTCATGAGGTAGTATTCATCTAAAATACAAATTTTATTGTAACCTAATTATGTACAATAATGAAACATATGCAATATAGGTAAAGTCAAGTAGAAAAATTGAAAATAAATTCAATGTATCTAAATACAAATTAGAGACATGTCATGATAGATCATTCCATCTTAAATAAGTCAACAATGTTTTGTGGTAATTTTTAATATCAACTTGAGATTTTTCTTGTTAAAAAGTTGAGTAATTTTAACGCATTCAACATTATGGATAAAAAATAGTGAACTTTTTTATATAGTGTTTTTCATGACTTGGCATAAACAAAAAAAATTCACGGAACTGGACGAAAAAATACCCCAATATGACATCAAGGTAACAGGAAAAATTGTCATCCTTTAATAGACATTTGTATTTAGTTTGTATCGTATATAAATGTAGGTAGAAAAAAAAGAAAATGTTGATAAGATAGCGAGGGTCACAAAGTACTGTCCAGAGCCCCCCAATCAGTCTTGAGGGTGGGGGTTTCGGAGGTAGTACGCACCAGCCCTATTGTCAGGAATTAATGGAATCATTACTAACAGAATATGGCTATTATAATGGCTAGCAACACGTTTCTGAGCACACCCGTTTGCTAAGGCGATTAGCTAATCCCAGTTACAGGTGCTTGCTCAGTTACATTTTTGTTTGTTCAACAACTCAGAGGAGCTACAGTTTCATGGGAGAGGAAGCATAATCTGGCAAGATCAACCTGCTCTTTTTTTTTAACAAGGCTAGTGTGTTCAAATAACTTGTAACTTCGTGTTGTTTCACTGACAAGACTTGCTTCAAACCTTAGTACAGTTTTCAAGTTCGTTCCAATGGTGCCGTATGCTGAGATATCCTCCCCCAAGACCGATAACACCAAGAAGTCCCTCCCCTGGCGAGATTCGAAACTGGGTCTCATGATCATGAAAGCGAACGCCCTAACTACTTGGTTCATATTATATTTATAAGGTAACTGCATTAGTAATGATTTTACCATATTACGTGTTTCCCTAATCATTTCACCCCAGGCAAGGTAATAATGCCACTAAGACGTAAGTGGTTTATTGGGAGTAAAAGAGAATCAGAAGATTTTATTGAAGAGAAAGGTCAATAAAAGAACAGAATTCAGGAAGACAGGTGCTCCATTCAAGATAGAAGGTTTACTATTGAAGTACATTGAAACTCATCAAGAAAGATTGTTAGCTGTCAGGAATCAAAGGATGCATTACTGAATAGGGTTGTAAAATCTATTGCTTGTGTTTTACTAGTGAATTGCATTGAAAATCAAGTAGATAAGGATTGTCAATCAAGCAAGGCATTACTAATAGAATAAGATTGTTATGTGTGTGTATGTATGGTAATGCTAATGTTAATAGTAATATTAGTCGTTTCCTTATAAGGAAACATTCGGGATTCATTGACCGGTCAGCTGGTACAATTGTTGGTTGAAATTTATAAAATCTTTTTCTTAAAATATTTTTTCAAGAAAAGAGATTTTTGAGATTCAGTAGCTGTTATCCTTCTTTCCAGTATTGGTGGGCGGGGGGGTCCTGTTACAAATATTAGAGACAAAAATTTACGTGGCGTATGAGTATAGGACATCAGTGATCGTGGATCTCAATAGATTTTTTTTTTACTATTATCTATAAATTGTCATGACTTCTTGATAATGATAACAGAGTGATTTCCCTTTATCTTCTCCATTATTTTAACTCCTAGAATGGCTGCCATCCAAAGCTGGGTATCCAAGTCTACTTTATTATTTAACTCATAGCTGGGGGAAAATATTATAGATTCATTATTTTCCCAATGGTATCAGTTCAAAAGACAATGTAACAGACACAACCAGGATTTGAACGCTGTTCGCTGAGTCCATTTTCTATACCATTAACCGTTGCGCTAACGGCCCAGCAAATACAGATAAGTGAGAAGGAGAGGAGGGTGGAAGAAGAAAAAGAAAAAAGAGATTGAAAGAGAGAGAGAGAGAGAGAGATAATGTAGAGAAGGAAGAGCGGGGGAAGAAAGAAAGATGAAGAAGAAACGGAAAGAAGGGAATTATTAGGTGTGTGCAAAAGTTCCCAGCACCTTCTTTTTTGAAACCTAGTGACTGAATATTCAGTAGAAAAGCGTTTCGTTCTTTTTCTTCCCTTTACTTTTATTTAAAGGCTGGACATTTTTGCATGTATTTATTAGAAAGGAGATGGGACGAGAAAGAGAAAATGGGAAAAGGAGAACAAGAGAGAGAGAGAGTGGGATACACTCTGAGGAGTGGACGGAGTAATTCCAGGCGGGTCCGAGTACGAAACTCTGGATATGGCGGGGAAAATATAACAAAGTGGAAAAAAAGTTTTCGTGGGACGCGTTTCATTCTTTAAGACTTCATCGGACGAAATTTGTTAAAAGTCCTAAAAGACGAAACGCTTTACACGATAACTTTTTTCCATTTTGTCATACATTCCCCCCCCACTCAGTATTGTTCTTGGTATATAAAAATTTATAAATAATTATCTCATATATATATATATAAAAAATATATAAAAATTTATATATAATTATCTCATATATATATATATGTGTGTTGGGTGTGTGTGTGTGTGTGTGTGTAAATAGAGAAAGAGAGAAAGAATACAAGCCTCTTCGTGTTTATATTATATAAATGTGGCTTTTATGCAATGATATTCTTATTAAATATAAATTATAGCGTCTGATCTGGGGATTTAGAAAAATATGAAGTAATTCAACTATTAAAATGGTAATTTGTGCCAGTGCTGACCGAAGTGAAAATTACTTACATCTTTAAAAAATATTTACCCGCCTGCATTTGGGTAATGTGAATCTTGACACTTTTAGTTCAACCCACACAGTTTTATCCATAGCTCACGTAATAGAATAAAATTGGATTTAAGAACCCTGGGAAAACCGTTTGAAAAATTCTTTTCTATAGTAAATAATATGTCTTTTTTTTTTTTTTACAGAGACATCATTGTTTTCTTTTATTTATTAAAGATCGAATAATTTAATTCCGAACAGACGGAATTTCTTTTATACACTATCTTCAGCATGTGGATGCTCATGGCTCTCCACAACTTCCTATCTTTTGTATCCCTGAACAACATCAGTCAGTTATGTACTATGCGTGATACACGATACATGAATGACGAGGCAGATTTTTTCCCGCAGTAGGTTGCCATTTCTTTCTGTGGTAGACCAGTTGCCATCCATAGAAACTGTCTTGCTATTTACCCATAGCTGGGGGGGAAAAGAGAAGGATTCATACCTTGCCCAAGGGTATTAGCGTGTAAGTGAATGTAATGGATTTGACTGGAAATCGAACTCGGCTCCCCAATTCCTCAATCCGAGCCGCTGTCCATTACTCCACCATGCTTATTATCTATCTCTCCAAGTTAATATTTTGCCATCCATTTACACAAATTCGTTAGGCAAGTTATTCGCTGTTTTCCCCTGTTCATCTTACCTTCAATCTGACCCGTAAGTGTTAAATACTCCGAGCCTTCTTTTCTTATTATGCCCTATGAATTTCAACTGTTTCTTTCTGTTTCGAAGTACAAGTTTCCTTTTTGTTTTCATTTTCTTTAAAACTTCCTTGTTGATCATATATTCTGCCTATGGTATTTTCAGCATTATTCTATCGAGTCACACCCCTGTTGTCTGAAGTCTCCTCTTCATCTGTGATGAAATTGCCCAGCAATCACTACCATATTGGAGGATGGATATTATATAATATTTGAGAACACTTATCTTTGTTTCAACGAATTTTTCCTATTTTTTTGCTTAGTTTTTGGAAGGCATTTTTACCTATTCCAAAACGCCTTCGGATTTCTGTCACATTTTCCATTGTCTGTTGTAACACATCCCACATAATTTATCATAGGTTATAGAGTGTAAACCAGGTTTTATTTGAACAAAGCGAAGACGAAATATCAAGTAGGCTAATGTTGCTCATAATGTCAATACATTATACTGTATTTTCTTTTTGCTTCATCCCTTCAGGATGTAGATGATCACGGCTCTTCGAAGATTCCTTTCCTTTGTTATCTGTGAGTTACCAAAACTGTAATATTAAATGTGAATGCAGGTTATCTTTCCCGCGTAGCCCAAGAACTTCATTTCTTGCCCTTTCTTACGCTAATACAACAACACACAGTAATCCTCTATCTTGAGTGACTCTTCGACCTTATATCGGATGACTATTATTAAAAATGGTATTATACACCATCAGATACGGTATATATAGCTTCCTTTTTAATACAATTTCAAAGTTAATCATCGTCAAGACTTATAGTCACATCACTTTGAAACACCGGTTTCTGTACGATCACCGAAGTTAAGCAACATCGATCCTGGTCAGTACCTAGATGGGTAAATGCTTGGCAATATCAGGTGCTGTAAGCTTAGATGTGCAGGTGGTGTAATGTATAATGGCTCGGAAATGCTAATCGCAAAACCGAGTTTAGGTTCCCGTTAGGTTCGGTAGGGTTATGCGTAAAATACCATTCGAAGAAGTATGAATCCACTTCTTATCCTCCAGCTATGGGTTAATTAGCAAGACTTGATCCCATTTTTGAATTCACTCTTACTTTTACAGATTTTGTTTTTAATTCTTCTGTTTGTCTAGCTACCCTCATCTCAGAAAGGCGTGACGAGAGAACTGGTTTAATCACCAATAAACTGACCACGCGACAAATAGTACTCGATTACATAGAACCAGTTGCACTCATAGAGCAACCTGACATACATACGCACGACATTCCTATGGAGAATAGTATATATAAAGTCTATATTTCAGAAAAATGGTGAATAATTGAATGAAAAGATGGAAAGTTTCTATGTGATGCGTTTCGTCCTTCAAAAGGACTTCGCACTAAATAATAGTTTTATTGGTGAGATCATATATATACAGGGTACAAAGGGTAAATTGTCGCCATTTTATATTTTTAATTTCACGCCTGCCTGTTGTCCGCTTTTAATTTTGTCAACTGCAAAGTACAGTAGGCTTAGTTGGGCATCGTCTGTGAGAAAAAAAAAAAAAAAACGCCACGACGAAATTCATTCCATCAGAAATTTGGAAACGGCATGCTGTACTGCTTGGCATTCGTTCCGGAAACTCCAATACGAACATTTCAGAGTGTTTGGATGTAAATCTGTGAACAGTGCAGAAGATTAAAAAAAAGTTAGATGAGTCTAATGATGATTACGAAGTTATTTTGAGTGATCACTAATGATGGCGACATTATGCCTTCACTCATCTTCTTACAGGGCCTCAGACTCAACACTGAAGCCTTCTTCAAGTGCCCTGACGAGGTAGTGCTGCCCTGAATAAAGAGGGTGGCTGCTGGAAGACCTAATGTCTGGCAACAGGACTCTGCACCATACCACACAAACAGAAGAACACAGTAATGGTTTTCAGACAATTTCTGAGCAAGAGACCAACAAAATTCCTTGTAACGCCAAAGATGAACTGAAGGCAAGGATTATGACAGCATTTACCAACTTAAGGAGACCGTCCAGAAGTGTTGCAGGAGATTCTGAAGTCGTCCGGAGGTCCGGAAGTCAATAGCGATTTTATTGAATAAATTTACTCTTTAGTATTTCAAGATATTTTTGTATAATTTTGGTAAAAACTTCTGTTAAAATGAGATGTCAGTGGTATTTTCATTTTTGCGTAATTTAAATGACAATTTATCCATCACATCATATATATATATATATATATATATGTGTGTGTGTATGTGTGTGTGTGTGATGCAATGGATAAATTATCGTTTAAATTTGTAGTTTAAAAGGCAATAATTCGACTTTGATAACCAGATGCTTCCACTGTAGCTAAATGGTATATATATATATATATATATATATATATATAACTGATTTAAAATATGGTTTCTTCGCTACACAGGAATAACCATGTTTCAAAACTGAAGCTAAAAACTTCAAATTTAATTATATTATTAAATTAAAAGCATTATTTTTGTTTTATCTTCAAGCGAATTTTGGAATAACTTATTTTTAAATCTATTAAGATTTAAATGCACATACAATCCATAATTTTTTGTTTCCAAGGATACAGAGAAATCCAATGATTTAGACAGGGGCGGTAGCGTGTTCATTTTTATTAACTATTGTTGTATCAATTATGAGTTACGTTCGAAAAAGAGGTTATGTCTAGGGAGGGTCGGGGTGCGTTTTTCAACGAATTTTGTCATCCATTCAACGCATGTCGTCTGGTGTTTTTTTTTTCTTAACGACAAGTTTTTCGGTCGTCAGTAATTACTCATTGTATACATAATAATCAGACTAACCTTCATAATTTTATTGAACTAGGTGAATATTGTGCCGCAGAAGGAAACTGTCGCTGATCTATTTTATTCAGGGTAGGCACTGCCTACCTAGACGACACGTAGAAAATATTCGTCCTCCGAAATTTCTGTGAAAATTTCTCGGACATTCAGGCAGGTAAATGTTGTTTAATACTGTTTATTATAAACAGAGCCTTTACTTAAATATTTTTAGCTATAAAAAGAATGTTAAACATAAAAATGTCTTAAAATAATTATCGGACTTTGTCCATTTCAATATATATATATATATATATATATATAAAGAAAATTTTTGTTGTACAAAACTTAATAGCAAGGAATAAGCGTAATTTAAAAGGCAAATCAGTATAAATTTAGTAACTAAAAACAATCGGTTTCGTCCTAGTCTTATCAATTTCTGGGAAATAAAAGAATAAACGTGTAAATTAATTAAAGATGACTAATGAAGGGAAAAAATATTCAAGGCAAACTAGAGACCAATAACATTCAGACCCAGCAAACAATCCCCCTGTTTACAGTTGGAAGGCTAGCGGGATCTGATATATAAGGACTTCAGGACCATGAAATGGAGAAAGAGTGGGAAATTGATAAAATATACAAACGGTCTACACTAAAGTCAGTAATACAAATCCTGCTATTAATAGGTTGTGCAATAGATGACCCGGATGTATTAACTAGTTGACTATTGCTAGCGGCCGGATTCAAAATTCTGGAAGGTAAATGCTGCTTTATCCTAAAATCAAAACGTTGAGAAGTCCACCCTATGTAGTCGAGTTCACAACTACATTCATATTTGTAAATAAATGAGTTAACATGATCGTGGGTGGGGGGATAACATGCTAACGAATGGAAGAAAGAAAAGATTATGTAATATATATATATATATATATATATATATATATATATATATATACTACGTGTTATTGGCATGCTAGCAGGTTATGCTAAGCATATAAAAATGACCCTAAAAAATAAGCGGCGGGTAAAATAAAAAAATCAAATTTATTTTTAAAATAAAAAGCACATAAGTGGTTTTACTTGAACAATTCTGCGCCCTAAAAGTTAAAGTATTTATGTAATTAGAATAGATATGAAATGGAGTCTGAAACGGAAGCGGATGTAGAATTTTGTGTTGCCAATTTTTTTATTAAAAGTTATATCTAAAAATAGTGTCGTATGCAGGTTCTCCGTGTACTTTGAAAATGGCTTTACATTTAAATTGTGTTATTTGATCCAAAACTTTACCCATCTGAAGAACATTTGTGAATAACGTCATTTTGCAAGCTTTCATCGGGCAAATCTTAAGGGTTCGCTTTAAAAACGCTCCCGAACCCCAGAACAGTGATTGCATCCGGTTGGGTGTGGCAAGCAAAAGTTAAGCCCCTCGATTGAAACCTTTCAACCGACGCTATTGACCCACTTCCCCATGAGATTAGGGCGTGACGCAATGTCGTTTTTAGTGTGAGATGCCTGTACGCATATAAAAATTGCTCCATCCCCCTGACCACTGTCGGTATGACCCCCACCATCTTTAGTGCAATGATGGAGGTGCTGCTGAAGGTTGGAATCTCCGGGACCAGGCTTCCTTTATAATTTTAAGAGGAAATGAGAACGTTGGCGAGGGAAAAGTTTTTCAAACTCGAACCACCTAACCGGCAAAATCTGCTGATGTTGTGATATTGTGGGGTTAGTTGAAATGTTTTTTTAAATCCTAGATCATGTCTGGGAAGACGGACATTATCTGATGAAGACTGTAGCAAGAGAAACGACTGCAGATGCATTTGAGAAGTCTATATGTGTCACGTAGTTTCGACCTTTTCCACTTAGAAGATCGTTAACTAATTAAGTCACGTGGTTTCTATTTCATGATCACTTAAGAACATTCATCTTCCGATGTCGTATGTCAATGGGTTTTTTATTTATTTTATTTAGATGAAACATTATCATTATTATTTTCTTACAAGTTCATACTTTTATTATTGCTTGGTGACAGAAATAAAAGAGTGGCATTGGTCATGTTGAATTTTTTTTACATTGAGGTTCACGCTATACAAGACCCACGAGCCACTCGTAGTAGAATGTTACTGATTAAGAGGCACAATTTATGCGAATATCTAGGGAAGATAACGGTTAACCCTAGACTTGAATAGGTTAAGATTGTATTGATCGGGAACACATCCTCTTGAGAGTCGGTTCCACAGAGCAGTGGTTTAAGGGAAGAAGCTACCAATGCAATACAAAAGAAATCGATATGGTTCGCTACAATATGTGTAGCATGGCGGATCCTAGCCGTGAAGTTTAGGGCTAGTGGAACATAGAAATGTAGTTCGTCTGAGCACTTTCAATGGAAGTAGCGATAGAGTAGCGAGAGGTTTGCTACATCTCGTCTGTGAGAGAGAGGGAGAGAGGGGGGGTTGCTGAGGGGAAAATATTTTGTCACCTACAAGGGTGCGGAGACGCTTTTGGATTCTATCAAGACTGGAAAGTGAGGACTGGAAAGTGCCCCTGCCCAAATATGACAGCAGTATTACATTTTCGGCAAAGGTGGAGGATAGCACGAGGAGTCAGGTACTTGCTGGAGCGGTACAAGGAACCAACCATTTTTCCTGCATCTTTGGCGACGGATCGTATGTACGAGTTCCATAAACAAATGCAACCATTCCCCACTGAACGACCCACCTGTTTAATGACATTCAGACTTACGACCGACTATAAAATGTCATAAAATATAAAATTTGAACCAGTCGATATTGTAAGTCAAACGAAGACATTCACTGTGATTGTTAGAAATGTTACAAAGGGTGCAAGCCTACATTAAATCTATCTGGAGATGGTTGACCAAAATCCATTACCCGCATAGTATGCCTGAAATAGCCGCCAGGTACTACTTCTCACTTAACGATCAATTCGTTTAGCGACCAGGTCGTTTGAACGGAACGCGGTCGTTAAGTGAGGTGTTGCTGCATAGCAGAATATTATTAGTTAATGACGATATTAGACCATACTCAAACTTGAGTGCTACCCAAACAACTTAAATTTTATATATAAAATTGTAGATTTGGGCACTTCAACG